TGTGGTGGTGTCTGGGGTTTTTGGTCATTTTAGGGGTTTTTTTTTTGTTTAGGTTTGTTTGGGTTTGGGTTTTTTGGTGTGGGTTTTTTTTGTTTGTTTTTGGTTTTCCTGGGGAGTTTCCTCTTCAGCTGCGCTTTGGAAGGACTTTGCACCTCTCGGTCTGATCCAGCCTGGAACCCACTCCCCTGCGTAAGGCCAGCGTGGAAATGACTCGGAGGCGAGATGCTTCGCTGCTTCCCCGCTGCTTTGGGCATCTCCCAAAACCAGTACCACTGCTCAGACCTTCAGGAAGGTTTTAAACTCCGAATTTCTTCCCAGAAAGAAATGCCAGATTATAATGACACCGCCCTACCCGCATAGCTGGGATAATTCTGGGATGGCGAGCAGATGCACACAACCCTCTGTCTTAGCATTAGTGGGATGGGGACCAGGATGGATCCGTTCCTGTCCTGTGAGCTGGTCTCTTTCGGAAAGGAGGGTGTGGGAGGCAATTAGCAGGGCGAGATAATTAAAAATCAGCAACAAACTCCCAGTGCTGCTTTTGCATCTGGGCTGTGGATACCAGTGAGTGAGAGGTGGGGCTCTCCAGTGGCTCAGACTGGGAAGACTGGAGGGGAGAGCCCTCTCCTGCAGGTCTGCAGCAGCCCAGGGGGTTGGATCATTTTTGGAATATTGTTGGACATGTCACAATATTCACTTTTTTTTTGAAAATGAAATCTCCTACTCACCAGCACAGGGAGGACCAGAGCCATGAAGCCACCGCAGAAAACGGCGAAAGCCACCGCGTAGGTCATGAGCAAGGGGAAGGTGGTGGCCAGAGGACAGAGCAGGTTGGTGACGCCGCCGAGGACAAGGTAAGCCATGTGGTAGTGATACTTCTTGGTCCAGTTCTGGTCAGCGATCCAGCCCAAGAGCAGCTGGCTGACTGTCTCCGTGATGCCTGCGGGGAAGAAGAATTCACCGGAGCCTCAAAGAAGAATTTTTCCTTTTTTTTTTTTTTTTTTCCTTCCCTTTTCCTCTCCTTTTTTTTCCCCTCTCCTTTTTTTTCCCCTCTCCTTTTTTTTCCCCTCTCCTTTTGTTTTCCCCTCTCCTTTTGTTTTCCCCTCTCCTTTTGTTTTCCCCTCTCCCTTTTCCCCTCTCCTTTTCCCCCCCTCTCCTTTTTTTCCCCTCTTCTGTCTGATCTCTTTTTCGATACAGACAAAAAGCAGAATATTAAGAAGAGATTTTAATTTTTATAAAGAAGCAAAGGACAGAAATCCAGCCTTTTTTCTTTTTTACAGGCTCAGCAGACTTTTGATCCTTGGTTTTTACATTTCTTGAGATATTTTTATGAACCAAAGATTTTATTTATTTATTTTTGTACAATAAAATATGTTACGATGACTGAGGTTGGAGCCACTTTCTTAACTCAATGCGACCGTAGTGTTAAGCCCTGCTTATCGTCAGGCATGGGTTTGGGCTTTTTTTTGGGGGGGGTTGGGTTGTTTTTCCCCTTTTGAAGGTAAATGTGCCAAATCCAAATGGCTAGATCCAAGTTAATTTTATTTTTTTTTCCCAAAAAATGGAATTTTTCTCTCTCTGCCCACATTCCTGGGTGAAACTGGGCATCTTTGAGCTCTGGATTTCTGTGGTTTTGTGGCTTTCGGTGGGAAGGCTCCGGGAGGACAGGCAGCACCTACGTGATGGGAAACTTGCGTTTGTTGGGCGCAGCGAGGCTGGGGGATCATCCAGCTGGGGCTGAGAGAACCACCCACCAGGTGAGAGCGACTTTGTACCCGCAGGGAAGGCGACGGGATATTTACAGCCGCGGGGCGAGGGCTGCGAGCTGAACCCCTTCCCTGCAGAGCTATTCTGGGATAGATTTGGGATTATTTCTTGGCAAGATTTGGGATGTTTTTCTTGCCTGTTTTGGGATCGTTGGCATTATAAACAGGTTGAAAAAATTCTTTTTTGCCTACCAGCCACGGAGATAAGGTAAGAAGCATCCATGCTGCTTATTCCCAGCGTCCGGGCTCTCGCTACCAGGTGGAAGGTGGGCACGAAGTACGCCAAGTGGCTGAACATGAAAGACCACGTGAAGATGCAGAAGACGGGATCCTTCAGCGGCGAGAAGTCGAGGAGAGGCTGGGAATTCTCTTTTGCGCTCGGTGGAAGGGATTTGCAGCTTCTTTTCCCCTCGGTGGCTATTTCTGGCGAGGCCACGGGGCGTTTCTCAACCCTTTCCGAAGGTGATGGATTTACCGGACCGGAGACGTCTCCACCGCGGGACGGGAGTCTCTCCGTGCTGGGAAGGTCCTGGGCGCGGGCGGGTCGCAGCAGCATGCTGGAAGGCACGAGGTTCAACATGATGCCGCCGAAAATCAGCAGAGTACCTGAGGGAAGGCACAAGATGCTTTTTTTTTTTTTTTTTTTTGGAAAGGAGGAGCAGCAGGAAATGATCTTTCTAGAGCAGGGGTTTACGTTGAACGTGGAGAAAACTCTGCCGTATGGTGGAGGTGTCCTACAGGAAGTTTTATTCTGATTTTTTTAGCTGGAAGTCCCTTTAGCTGGGATGCAACTCATCCAGAGCTACCTCTGGGATTTGGGAATTTTTTTATTTTCTCATTAGCAGTCCGTTACACGCGACAGGTTTTCAAGATGACCTGAACCAGCGCAGGGAAAGGAGGGATTTTCGGTTTTAGTTTCGGTTTCTGAGGTCTCTGTTTTGACCCTGCCTTATCTCCAACGCCTGATGAAGTGTTTCATCATTAACAAGATGTCCCCAAACTATCCTGGAAGAGGCAGGGTTGTTCCTCACCACATCCCATTTTAATTTTTATTTTTTTAAAAGAGCCTCTTCTCCCACCCGTGTCTCCTCTTAACGCTGATAAATTTGGATCGACGGGAGACGCGCTCACCCCCCTGCCCAGCCGTAAAAATCGATGAGAAGTTGAGTGAAAGGCGCGATTAGAAACGTCAACCCCATCCCGGAGCGGGCGATGGCGTTGGAAAAAGCCAACCGCGTCCTGCAGTGCTTGGCCGTCATCACCGCGGCCGCCTGGTAGAGGCAGGCGAAGCCCATCCCTGCGGGAAAGGGACAGAAAAAAAATCTGCCTGTGCCCCCCCCCAAAAAAAAAAAAAGGGGCTGGTTCAGATTGTGAGCTTTTGGGATTTAAATGCCAACCCGAGGGGTTCGTGGGCTGCAAGCCGGGGGGATGCTGCGGTTGCAGGCGGGGGAGGATGGAGGTTTCAGGATATTTAGCGGCTGGGGGTCCCGAGGCTGGGTGCTGTTAGTGAGGGGATTTAAAAAGCTGGGATTCATGTTTGGGGAAAAAAAAAAAAAAAACACAAAAAAGCGAGGTTAGTTGGGTTTAGCGTGTTGGAATGGGTGTTTTATGCTCCTGAGAGCGTAGGAAGGCGCTGGGCGTGCTTTGGGGGTTCCACGTCGGAGGAGATGCTTTTGCAGGAAAAAAAAAAAATCTGAACCGTCGCCGGCTGCTCACCCAGGAGGAGCCCCATGGAGACGCAGAGGAAGGGGACAGTGGGGGGCCGGGGGCTCAGCAGGCAGCCCCC